ACATACCTGCAAACCCTTCTAATTTCTGTAGCTTGCGCTTAATATCTCCGTAAGCTTGGCTGACAAAGGCGGAGTTTACCATTCGGGAATTATCAGCGTCTTCCGGATTAAAGGGGGTATACAAGCGGTATGCCTCCAATAATCGGTCATAAAAGACACTGGGCGCTTCATCACTTTTCTGAATCACCTCAACTGTCTTCGACATGTTAATAGCTTTCTTCCCTCCGGCTTTCATGCCAGCAATTATAGCATCTCTATAGGCTTTAAGTTGAGCCATATCTGCGCCATTTACATTCCAGTCAGGATCGGTGTTAGGGTAATGTGTTGCGGCCCATGCTGCCGGATTGGCTTGATTTAAAGCACGGGCTCTCTCCTCTAGCGCCTTAATGGCCGCTTGGTTAATCCTTGTCCTTTCCTCATTATTGAACAATGTCATTAATAACTGCTGGCAATCAGCCCATGTCGGGTTATGTGTCTGAACTATCGAGGTGAACAGATCGGTCATAGCTTGTGGTTTCTCAGTGTACGAGGAATTGTGGGTCTTCCAATTCAAGAGATCGGTAGTCGTGAACGGGACATATACGAAGACTGGGTCAGCATGTGCCATTTGACCTGCGGCATCGATATAGGCTGACCCAGGATTCAGACGAAGAGGCATCTGATAATGTTTTAATTGTTGGGTACCGGTCAGTTGTCGGGTTAGTATGGGGCTACGTGGAGGGGCGTCAGTTAAAGGTTCCGGTCGAGAGGTAATAGGGCATGAGGATGTGGGAACTTGATTTTGGGAAAAGTTAGTGAATAGTATACTCCGAGCCGAGCTAGAAGAAGCTTGACCGGAAGTTTGAAGTGGCGCCAAATCAGGATATTCAAATCTAATGGGGGTTGGTCCTGGTTCCGGAAGGGGAGTTTTAATACGAGGGGGGGTGGATTCTGTACTGGAGGAGGAAGCGGAAGTGGATGGGGGCAATAGGGGAAGGGGTGCAGAGCTTCCTGCATTCGCGTCACTTCCTCTTAAAGGAAAGTAAGGAGGCGGCAAAGGGATCTCGGACTCAGGGGGCGTGTCCAAAATGGGCCTAACACCAGTCCTAGTGGACAAACAAGTCCTGGCCACCATGAGGCGACATTGCTCCTCGTGGCATATCCGGATCCATTTTGGCGAGTCGTTTACGGCCTGCCCCCAACAATCAATGTATGGAAACTGTCCGTAAAGTTCAGGCCTACCTGACACAGCCACGTGTACACGCTGTACCAGGGTTGGATCCAAACTGCCACGCGGCGGCCATGCCGCAACCAAAATAGGCCACTCCCTAGTGCACAAAGTGACCAAACGTACAGGAGACATTTTAACCCCAAAATCACATGTTTTGAATCCCTTTTTAAAATTCTTTACCATACAACCTAAGGGATCCGAAATCGTTGACTCTGACGCGCCCATACTTATCAATGGAACGTCGTTGACAACGAATACTATGCACGCGTTCTTATTCAACAGTCACACCCGTTTCCTCTGGCAACAGCACCACGTGGTACAGTTACCAAGTGAAACGTACACAATAACACAATAATCACTCAGGGAATTCCCGTACACACACAGCTGTTACACCAGTCACTAAATAATCAATATTATGCCCTTTGGCGAAACTATACAGTCACCCACGCTATAATTCTCTATATATGAATTACCCGTCTATAACACACCCCAGTAACATCGTCTTTTACTAGTATCGGTTACAGTACGGTTAGCATAGGTCAAAGCACAATTTAAGGTCACAATACAATTATTAGTGGTTACGGTGTTAAACATGCAATAGACGACAATGATTAGTACTTATATACAGTGTCAGTAAATATACAGGGTTATGGTACCGTGCACTATGATACAGCAACACACTATTAACACTCTCGCTAGACGGCTGAGCTCGCGCTATCTAACAAGATATACACTTTACTAACAATCTTTAACACATTTACAATCCCAACTAAACTATTGGCCAGTACCTTGAATGGACTACCTAAAACTATATACACCCGTTTTGGTTAGCCACACTGCCCAAACACCACATATAGCGAACTAGAGGGCGAAATTTACAAAATTGCCCTTCTAGTCTATTTACTCTATCAAAAGTCTAGTGGGTTCCAAATTTACACGCCTTCCCACTTAGCCAAGATAGGTTGAGAGCTAGCGAACCGAATTTACACAGGCGCCGCTTAGTCTCCCGGTCCCTCCGACCTAGCGAACGTAATATACACCCTAGAACGCTAGTCTAGACAAGACACCGGTGTCCGGCTAGGGCTATTTACACAGGACCCCGCCTGACTAACCAGATCAAACGGTCTTACTAAAGAGCGTTCGATCGAGCGGTGCGCCTTCGCTCCTTCCCTCCGACAGAGGGGGCAGATTCCATACACAGATTTAAACCCCTTTTGGGCCTACCGCACAATCGGTATACCCCTAGTGGGTCTGCCGTCTAAAACAGCAGTTGTCTTACCTCCTCGTTCCTGAACCTGAGTTCACACTCATCGACGGGGACACCCCAGCACTTCTTACGTAGAGGCCGATGATCTCCTGGACAACAGACCAGTGGCGCCGAGACGAAGGGAGGTCCACGCAGAAGTTCAGGGGTGCAGCCGTAGAGAACGTGGGCAAAGATAGACCGTCTCACGCCTCTGCCTCTCAGCTACCGTTGAACGATGAGCTTCCCGGCCAATGCACCAAATGATACCGGAGAAACTGACGGAAGCAAAGCACAGAGGGATGGACACAGGTTTCTTCAGGAAGGAAGAGATTCTTTATTGGATCACCGATCGGGACTCAGAGGGACTAATGTCACCAAAAATACAGCAAGTTCTGAGCCCTGAACAATAGTGCAGGCTCCCTATATAGGCACATAACTCCTCCCATATTAAGCTCCACCCGCACATTCTCTTGACCAATCATTACAAATAAGAATTAACTTCCTGCTTGGCCGCATGGCTTGTCCAGCACAATGGAGGAGGGGAATACTACATCCTGTATTCTTGCACAGTAGCGCAAATGCCAGGTTTTGTTTACATTTTGCTTCGTTCACAACGTGTACATTTGGCTCCGTCCATAAGGGGTTAATAATTCTGTTCAAACAGTACGGACAAAATAGTTTGTTTTGTTTATATTGCGGATCATGCAATATTAAAAAAGGCAAAGAACATAATGAGAGGTACCAATATAATATAGTTAATGTAATGCACATACAATTAAAAAAGAAAGTACATTATTATTATTGCCATTTATATAGCACCAACAGATTTCGTAACGCTTTACAATATTTTAAGAGGGGGGATTTAACTATAAATATGACAATTACAAGAAAACTTAAAGGAAAGATAGGTTGAAGAGGACCCTGCTCAAACGACATGGTTCCCTTCCCCGCCACCAGTTTAAACGAAAACATTATTTTTCCCCCCAAAATATATTGTTTACTTATACTATTCCTGGTACAGAAACTAAACCTAGGTAGATATAGTGGGTAATGCAATAGTAGTGCCAAAGTTAGCTCATTTCATAGAGGTTTATACAAATCATTCTATTTACAGATAACAGGCCTGAGACACAGAGCTTACAATTCTTCCCTTTGTTCCTGGTAAATAAAACATAGGATCACAGGATTACCACATGCATTCTAATCTATACGTTAATGAGATGTTGCAATTTATTTTGTTTTATGTCCCAGTAGACGCTCCTGGGTAATTCTATACTCAGACATCTGTTAGGAAATGTGTGATTCAATTCTCCTAACACATCCACAACATGATTCACAAACAAAACAATGGACTGGCCACAGGTATGATATCTAAAGCCAGGTTCACTGGATGGTATGAAACATTGCTAGTGTGTGTGTGTATCTGTGGGTATGTGTCAGTGTGGGTATCTATGTGTATCTGTGTGTCAGTAAGGGTATTGGTGTGTATGTGTCAGTATAGGTATTGGTGTGTATGTGTCAGTATGGGTGTTAGTGTGTATTTGTCAGTGTGTGTATGTGTCAGTAAGGGTATCTGTGTGTATGTCTGTGTCTCAGTATGGGTGTCTGTGTGTATGTGTCAGTGTGTGAATCGGTATCTGTGTGTATGTGTCGGTGTGTTTATCTGTGTGTGTATCTTTGTGTATGTATCAGTGTGGGTATCTTTGTGTATGTGTTAGTGTGGGTATCTGTGTGTATGTGTCAGTGTGGGTATCTGTGTGTACGTGCCAGTTTGAGTATCTGTGTGTTTGTGTCAGTTTGAGTATCTGTGTGTTTGTGTCAGTGTGGGTATCTGTGTGTTTGTGTCAGTGTATGTGTCAATGTGTGTATGTGTAGGTGTGGGTATATGTCGGTGTGTGTGTCAGTGTGTGTATGTGTCGGTGTGGGTATGTGTCATGTGGGTGTGTGTATGTGTCGGTGTGTGTATGTGTCGGTGTGGGTTTGTGTCGGTGTGTGTGTGTCAGTGTGTGTGTGTTTGTCGGTGTGTATGTGTCAGTGTGTGTGTGTCGGTGTGCGTATGTGTCAGTGTGTGTTTGTGTCGGTGTGTGTATGTGTCAGTGTGTATGTGTCGGTGTGCGTATGTGTCGGTGTGCGTTTGTGTCGGTGTGTGTATGTGTCAGTGTGTATGTGTCAGTGTGTGTGTGTGTCGGTGTGTGTATGTGTCAGTGTGTGTGTGTCGGTGTGTGTGTGTGTCGGTGTGTGTGTCCGTGTGTGTATGTGTCAGTGTGTGTGTGTCGGTGTGTGTGTCGGGCAGTAGCTCTGGAATTAGGTTTTGCATGATTGGATGTCTCTGTTACAATATTCCCAATCTGTCCCTCTCCCTCTCTCTCTCTCTCCCAGAATTCCCCTCTCCTGCAGCCAAGCCCTAGCTGTCCTCTTTTCCCCCTGGCTGCCCCCCTTTCCCAGCATGCCCAGAGGCCCCGCCTCCCTACGTGCTCTCCCTCCTCTCTCCGTTCCCATCATGCCCCGCGCCGCCTTCCCGCGGTTTCAGTTGAAGGAGGGAGAGGGGTCTCGGACCAACCAGGCCATTCAGTATCCTGAGTGTGAGTGACAGGACGGGCAGCCAATCAGCGCGCGCCGTGCCACCCGGATCACTTTCTCGGCCGCCAATCAGGGCGCAGCGGGGGCGGGGCCGACTCGAGCCGAGCACGGTGAGCAGCCGAGGGGCCAGCGAGACTATCCGCCGGGTTTTACCGCACATGGCTCCCCGATAACGGATGGCACCCCAGAAACAGGGCGGCTCGGCTCCAAGCACCGTGTGCCTCCCCCAGCCCGTCCGGAAACCCAAAATGGAGCAAATCCAGGCGGACCACGAGCTTTTCCTGCAGGCCTTCGAGAGTGAGTGACCAAATATATAATATAATAATATATATTACCTCATAAATCCTATAATATACCGTGTAATATAATATATACAGTCTGTAATATATATATATATATAGTATCCTGGGGGACCACGAGCTCTCCCTGCAGGCCTTCGAGAGTGAGTGACCGAATATATAATCTAATAATATATATTACCTCATAAATCCTATAATATACCATGTAATATAATATATACAGTCTGTAATATAATATATATAGTATCCAGGGGAAACACGAGCTCTCCCTGCAGGACTTCGAGAGTGAGTGACCGAATATATAATCTAATAATATATATTACCTCATAAATCCTATAATATACTGTGTAATATAATATATACAGTCTGTAATATAATATATATAGTATCCAGGGGGACCACGAGCTCTTCCTGCAGGCCTTCGAGAGTGAGTGACCAAATATATAATATAATAATATATATTACCTCATAAATCCTATAATATACTGTGTAATATAATATATACAGTCTGTAATATAATATATATAGTATCCAGGAGGACCACGAGCTCTTCCTGCAGGCCTTCGAGAGTGAGTGACCGAATATATAATATAATAATATATATTACCTCATAAATCCTATAATATACCGTGTAATATAATATATACAGTCTGTAATATAATATATATAGTATCCAGGGGAAACACGAGCTCTTCCTTCAGGCCTTCGAGAGTGAGTGACCGAATATATAATCTAATAATATATATTACCTCATAAATCCTATAATATACCGTGTAACATAATAGATACAGTCTGTAATATAATATATATAGTATCCAGGGGAAACACGAGCTCTCCCTGCAGGCCTTCGAGAGTGAGTGACCGAATATATAATCTAATAATATATATTACCTCATAAATCCTATAATATACAGTGTAATATAATATATACAGTCTGTAATATAATATATATAGTATCCAGGGGGAACACGAGCTCTCCCTGCAGGCCTTCGAGAGTGAGTGACCGAATATATAATATAATATATATTACCTCATAAATCCTATAATATACCGTGTAATATAATATATACAGTCTGTAATATAATATATATAGTATCCAGGGGGACCACGAGCTCTTCCTGCAGGCCTTCGAGAGTGAGTGACCGAATATATAATCTAATAATATATATTACCTCATAAATCCTATAATATACCATGTAATATAATATATACAGTCTGTAATATAATATATATAGTATCCAGGGGAAACACGAGCTCTCCCTGCAGGACTTCGAGAGTGAGTGACCGAATATATAATCTAATAATATATATTACCTCATAAATCCTATAATATACTGTGTAATATAATATATACAGTCTGTAATATAATATATATAGTATCCAGGGGAACACGAGCTCTTCCTGCAGGCCTTCGAGAGTGAGTGACCGAATATATAATCTAATAATATATATTACCTCATAAATCCTATAATATACCATGTAATATAATATATACAGTCTGTAATATAATATATATAGTATCCAGGGGAAACACGAGCTCTCCCTGCAGGCCTTCGAGAGTGAGTGACCGAATATATAATCTAATAATATATATTACCTCATAAATCCTATAATATACAGTGTAATATAATATATACAGTCTGTAATATAATATATATAGTATCCAGGGGGAACACGAGCTCTCCCTGCAGGCCTTCGAGAGTGAGTGACCGAATATATAATCTAATAATATATATTACCTCATAAATCCTATAATATACCGTGTAATATAATATATACAGTCTGTAATATAATATATATAGTATCCAGGGGGACCACGAGCTCTCCCTGCAGGCCTTCGAGAGTGAGTGACCGAATATATAATCTAATAATATATATTACCTCATAAATCCTATAATATACCATGTAATATAATATATACAGTCTGTAATATAATATATATAGTATCCAGGGGAAACACGAGCTCTCCCTGCAGGACTTCGAGAGTGAGTGACCGAATATATAATCTAATAATATATATTACCTCATAAATCCTATAATATACTGTGTAATATAATATATACAGTCTGTAATATAATATATATAGTATCCAGGGGGACCACGAGCTCTCCCTGCAGGCCTTCGAGAGTGAGTGACCGAATATATAATCTAATAATATATATTACCTCATAAATCCTATAATATACCGTGTAATATAATATATACAGTCTGTAATATAATATATATAGTATCCAGGAGGACCACGAGCTCTTCCTGCAGGCCTTCGAGAGTGAGTGACCGAATATATAATCTAATAATATATATTACCTCATAAATCCTATAATATACCGTGTAATATAATATATACAGTCTGTAATATAATATATATAGTATCCAGGCGGACCACGAGCTCTTCCTGCAGGCCTTCGAGAGTGAGTGACCGAATATATAATCTAATAATATATATTACCTCATAAATCCTATAATATACCGTGTAACATAATATATACAGTCTGTAATATAATATATATAGTATCCAGGGGGAACACGAGCTCTTCCTGCAGGCCTTCGAGAGTGAGTGACAAAAATATATAATATAATAATGATATATTACCTCATAAATCCTATAATACACCGTGTAATATAATATATACAGTCTGTAATATAATATATATAGTATCCAGGGGGACCACGAGCTCTCCCTGCAGGCCTTCGAGAGTGAGTGACCAAATATATAATATAATAATATATATTACCTCATAAATCCTATAATACACCGTGTAATATAATATATACTGTCTGTAATATAATATATATAGTATCCAGGGGGACCACGAGCTCTTCCTGCAGGCCTTCGAGAGTGAGTGACCGAATATATAATCTAATAATATATATTACCTCATAAATCCTATAATATACCATGTAATATAATATATACAGTCTGTGATATAATATATATAGTATCCAGGGGGACCACGAGCTCTTCCTGCAGGCCTTCGAGAGTGAGTGACCGAATATATAATCTAATAATATATATTACCTCATAAATCCTATAATATACCGTGTAATATAATATATACAGTCTGTAATATAATATATATAGTATCCAGGGGGACCGCAAGCTCTTCCTGCAGGACTTCGAGAGTGAGTGACCGAATATATAATCTAATAATATATATTACCTCATAAATCCTATAATATACCATGTAATATAATATATACAGTCTGTAATATAATATAGTATCCAGGGGGACCACGAGCTCTCCCTGCAGGCCTTCGAGAGTGAGTGACCAAATATATAATATAATAATATATATTACCTCATAAATCCTATAATATACCGTGTAATATAATATATACAGTCTGTAATATAATATAGTATCCTGGGGGACCACGAGCTCTCCCTGCAGGCCTTCGAGAGTGAGTGACCGAATATATAATATAATAATATATATTACCTCATAAATCCTATAATATACCGTGTAATATAATATATACCGTCTGTAATATAATATATATATAGTATCCAGGGGGACCACGAGCTCTTCCTGCAGGCCTTCGAGAGTGAGTGACTAAAATATATATAATATAATAATATATATTACCTCATAAATCCTATAATATACCGTGTAATATAATATATACAGTCTGTAATATAATATATATAGTATCCAGGGGGACCGCAAGCTCTTCCTGCAGGCCTTCGAGAGTGAGTTACCAAATATATAATCTAATAATATATATTACCTCATAAATCATATAATATACCATGTAATATAATATATACAGTCTGTAATATAATATAGTATCCTGGGGGACCACGAGCTCTCCCTGCAGGCCTTCGAGAGTGAGTGACCGAATATATAATCTAATAATATATATTACCTCATAAATCCTATAATATACCGTGTAATATAATATGTACAGTCTGTGATATAATATATATATATATATATATATATATATATATATATATATATATATATATATATATATATATATATATATATATATATATAGTATCCAGGGGGAACACGAGCTCTTCCTGCAGGCCTTCGAGAGTGAGTTACCGAATATATAATATAATAATATATATTACCTCATAAATCCTATAATATACCGTGTAATATAATATATATAGTCTGTATGTTAATATATATAGTATCCTGGGGGACCACGAGCTCTCCCTGCAGGCCTTCGAGAGTGAGTGACAAAAATATATAATATATATTACCTCATAAATCCTATAATATACCGTGTAATATAATATATATAGTATCCAGGGGGACCACGAGCTCTTCCTGCAGGCCTTCGAGAGTGAGTGACCGAATATATAATATAATAATATATATTACCTCATAAATCATATAATATACCGTGTAATTTAATATATATAGTCTGTGATATCATCCAGGGCGACCACAGGCTATTCCTGCAGGCCTTTGAGAATGATTGCCCTAAACGTCATATAAATAATGTATAAGTAATGTATACAGTTTGTAATATAGTATCCAGGGGGCCCATGAGCTCTTCTTGCAGGCCTTCTACAGTAAATTCCCAAAATATCATGTAATATGTAACTAATAGAATATTTAATATATTTATATATATCTGTAATATCCAGGTGGACCCATAAGATCTACCAGCAGGCCTTCCAGAGTAAGTGCCCTTCATAAAATGTAATATATAATATAATATCCAGGCGGTCTACAAGCTCTGCCTGCCAGCCCTTAACAGTGAGTCCACTGTAGAGCCCAAAATGTTATTTAAAATATAAAATTATATACATTCTGTAGTATATAATACAACAGTACTCAATTTCCTTATGCCACTGGCCATTGACAAGTAAACATTTAGCGCAGGGAGTAGAAATTCACCTCTGGTGTGTATGCCATGGTTTGGAGGGGCAATTAACTTGTAAGGTTTGGCTAGTAGCATAGGACTTCAAAGTTTAAGGCATGCAATACAATATACTGGTGATTCGTGAGCTTTGGGAGTATATCCTTAGAAATGCATAAACCCCACAGTATCCTTACTAACAGTGTAATAGAAATGCTTCAATAGCCACTGGAATTCTAATTCCCACATTAAATATATCTAAACATGTCCTGTGAAATAAAACAATTGGTCCCACAATGTGCACTGTAGCAACATGTAATTTAGACTTAATGACTGGAATCACACAGTGTAACTGTTCCTACAGTGCCTGTAATATCAAATGCAATAACATAGATACCACAATGTCTGTGGCATAATGTAATCTAGATCCCACATTGTGCCGTATTAAAACATAATTTAGATCACACAACGACTTGTGTAAAACCAGTAAATCACACATTTTTTCAATACTATTTAGTATAAACCTATATATCACTTCATATATGTTCTGATATATGTATCATAATTAGTGATGTCCCGAACGGTTCGCCACAAACGGTTCGCCGCGGACTCATCATTGAGTAAACTTTGACCCTGTACCTCACAGTCAGCAGACACATTCCAGCCACTTAGCATGCAGCTTCAAAATGGATGCTGTCTGGGAGGGAGGGTCTGCTGCTGATTGGCTGGAATGTGTCTGCTGTTTGTGAGGTACAGGGTCAAAGTTTACTCAATGATGAGTTTGCAGCGAACCGTTCGGGACATCACTAATCATAATTAATTCAAGCTTTCAGCACTTGTTATGCATAATAATACAATGTAATATATAAACAACTCTAGTATCTGCAACATTTGTTTTCCGTAAACCACTGATATCCACAGAAGTAATTTAACTCCTTAAGGACCAAACTTCTGGAATAAAAGTCCTTTGCTGCAGAGGGATTTAGATAGACTGGGGGACTGGGCACTCAAATGGCAGATGAAATTTAATGTTGAAAAATGCAAAGTTATGCACTTCGGCGTAAAGAATACACAAGCAACGTATACCCTTAATGGAAGCGAATTAGGGATAACAACACATGAAAAGGACTTGGGAATTGTTATAGACAACAAACTATGCAACAATGTGCAATGTCAATCAGCAGTGGCCAAGGCCAGTAAGGTATTGTCATGCATGAAAAAGGGCATTCATTCTCGGGACAAGAATATAATTTTGCCTCTTTATAAATCACTGGTAAGACCCCATATTGAATATGCTGTGCAATTTTGGGCACCTGTTCTAAAGAAGGATATTATGGCACTAGAAAAAGTGCAGAGGCGGGCTACAAAATTAATAAAAGGAATGGAACATATCGGCTATGAAGAAAGGTTAACAAATTTAAACCTATTTAGTTTAGAAAAACGTCGCCTGAGAGGGGATATGATAACATTATACAAATATATTCGGGGCCAATACAAACCATTGTGTGGAAATCTATTCACAAACCGGACTTTACATAGGACACGAGGCCATGCGTTTAGACTGGAAGAAAGAAGATTTCGTCTAAGGCAAAGGAAAGGTTTTTTTACTGTAAGAACAATCAGGATGTGGAATTCTCTGCCTGAAGAAGTGGTTTTATCAGAGTCCATACAGATGTTCAAACGGCTACTAGATGCATACTTGCAAGAACAGAATATTCAAGGATATAATCTTTCAATGTAGGGTAATAACTGCTTGATCCAAGGATAAATCTGACTGCCATTCTGGGGTCAAGAAGGAATTTTTTTCCTAGCTTGTTGCAAAATTGTGCTTCAAACTGGGTTTTTTTGCCTTCTTTTGGATCAACAGCAAAAAACAAATGTGAGGAAGGCTGAACTTGATGGACGCAAGTCTCTTTTCAGCTATGTAACTATGACATGTCACACATGTCGTGTCCTTAAGGGGTTAATCTCGATCATGAATTCTGGGATACCCAGTTTAATATAATACACTGCTTTATACAGGGTAACATAACATGGCATTTTGTTGTCCATTGCTGTAATGTAATCTAATAAGCATTTTAAAAGGTGTAAGTGTAATCTGTGTGTAAATTCTGGAATATTGTTAGACTTTGTTGCATTGTAGAAAAAGGGACTCTAGACATGTACAAAAATGTGTGGTTTAAAAAAAAAAAAAAGTTTTATTGAATAAAAAAATGGCGTTCAGGAAAAAAAAAAAGGCAAAAACCCACGTGCATTCACGAAATAAGTGATGTCATTAGCAGGTGAAAGACAAAGGTAGGAGGAAAGACTTACAATTTTTCCTTCCTCCTAAATTTTTTTTTTTTTTTTACTACTTCTTGAAAATGTCTCTGAAAGCCATTTCCAGCATTGTCATCAGTTTGCAGATCAGGGAAAATGTCCAGTTTTACTTATTAAGAGCACATGTAGAGAAATTCTAGATTATATGTAAATGTCTATCTACCTTACCCCCAGATCGTCTTCAGTTTTATATCTGACTGAGCTACCAGTAGTTAATATCCTTTGGATTTTTTGGTCAGTGACCATGATTTGCTCAGATACATTGTATTAGAAAGCAGATGTTTAGTTTTTTGGTATGTGTCTGGGTGTAGTCTCCTATTCTTGTATCAATACTACTGATCTCACCTTTGTATTCTTGCAATTATGTAGAATATAGAATGTTCCTCTGTAAAAGTTTGTGAAATGGCTAAAATTGGCACTGTAGATTTAAATAGGTGTGTGACAAATGTTAAAACAGGTTACCAGAGGCAGTGTGATTTAGCCCTCCAGCTTGTTTTTTAATTTCAAAAATTATGGTCGCTTTATAGTATAGTAGAGTATAAGTTTTAAACAGAAGGATGTTTGCGTGGGAAAGCAAAAAACACAACAAAACTGTAATGCAGCTAATTACAGCCATCAGTCTGTTTGAAACTATATTGGACCCTCGAAGGGTGGAATTTTTCTCAATTTCTCTAATTTTGCCAAATATATTTACAAAGAAATTTACAAAAAAAATTTTATTTACCCTCCCTGCCCTAGAACCTCCTCATGTATACAAATATTTTGCTCTGTTTACAGAAGATTTGCATGTGTTTTGTTTAGACTTTTTGTGAAAAAAAAATTTGTGGAAAATCCTGACCTTTTTTGTATTTCACGTAACCCCTTAAGACTGCAGGGCGTTCTATGCCGTCCTTATTTAGATGGCTCTAAACGCCGCAGGGCGACATAGAACGCCCTGCAATCTTTTGTACTTACCTGGTCGCCGGCGATCCCACGCCGGCAATCCCGGTATAGGGACTTACCTGGGAGCCCAGGGAGTCTCCCTCCGTCCTCTTAAAAGATGTTAAAACAGTGTAAAATTAAATAATATATACTTAGATCATATATTTATTATATATATATATATATATATATATATATATATATATATATATATATATATATACACATACACTGTCTACGTGTATTGTAATATTAATATATATATATTAAAATACACGTGCAATGATATTGATTAAATATATATAATTTTCTATATATATATATATCTATATATATATCTATATATAGATATATATATCTATATATAAAAATACGTTAAAAAAATAATAAAAAATAAATAGATAAAAAAAATATATATACATGCATAATTTCGTTCTAACTGTATTTTAAAATTAATATATATATTAATATCAAAATACATGTCGAATGAAATAATATATATCTATATACATAAATATACATATATTTTCTACGTATATATTTATGTAATAATTTTATATAATTAGGTCATTTTATTAATTACAATTTGCAGGATCTGCCTGATAACCCAGGCCGAAAGTTCAGGAAATTTAATTTTGTAGCACTATAACTTTCCAAGACACCATAACCCTGTAACTTTCCAAGACACCATAAAACCTGTACATGGGGGGTACTGTTTTACTCAGAAGACTTCGCTGAACACAAATATTAGTGTTTCAAAACAGTAAAATGTATTACAACGACGATATCGTCAGTGACATTTTTTGCATTTTTCACACACAGAAAACACAATGTTGCAATCGGTTAACAAGCGCCACACGCCTCTAAGTGTGTGGGCTATTATGTGTAGTGTTTTCGGTTCATGAACGGCCTGACAAAGTGCGGAACGGAAAACCTCATACAAATAGCTATCTGCATTCGTTGGATAGCAAATACAGGAAATACACGGTTATTTCAGCCCGCATACATTGTGCATAGATGAACACATATCCCCACCGACATATAGGCAACCCTTAAAGGTATAGTCTCTTGATATAGTCCAAGTGGCTAGGTGTGCCTCAACCAGCTTGTATGAATAACACTGCACTGACAAAAATAGAGTGTAAAAAGAAATCCTTTCTCCTGTGGCCAATAATGTGAGCTGAGCATCTGCCTGAATGCTTCCACTCTCTATCACGGAGTGGATATGAAATGGCTGACAGCAGGCATGCATAACGTCAGTCTTGCGATATCTTAATAAGATCGCGGTAGCGCGATCTCTGCTGTTTCCAACCTAATTGAATGTGGCAATTCATGGCGGAACACCAATTTTGTTCTCTTGGAACACCAATTGGGAAACGCTAGTTTAATGTAAACTTTTTTTCTTTTCTTTTTTTAATTTGTTTTAAAGAACCCCCAGATTCCTTGGTCAGATTTATAGTACTCCTCCAGTTTTACAAGGTGTTTATTAGGTTTACCCAGATTTTTTATTCAAATGCAACCCATTTCAGATTTTGTTAATTTTACAGAAAGCTCCCTTGCAGTACAATTAAATTGAGTAATAGTAACATCCCTGGATGTTGGGGGGAGGTAGGGGGGCGAGAAGTAACATCCCCAGGACATACTTGGAAACCAGAGAATATCTGAATGTACCTTTCTTGGTTAAACATTTTGTTACTATTATTTACAGAAATCATCACAGATTTACAGGGCAGCTCCATTTTGGGCATTTATTAATGTATTCAAATTTTCATTTTTATGTTAGAAAGTTTTATTACCTGCAAAACAAGGAGCTTGAAAGGAAGAGTAGAGTCAAGCACCTCTAGAATCATGGTGTGGATTCGCATCCAATATGGACAGTTTTACTGCAAGTCCACCATATGTGTATGGTTGAACCTCCCTCAACCCTAACTTTTGGCGCTGAGTGAGCACTGATGCGCAAGAATATGTATATATGTGGTGAGGGTTATTCTAATATACTATAATGCTAATAATTTAAAAACAACTCTGATTTCAAATTAGATTCTTAGTAGATATACAGAATGTCTTTAAATTTTTTTTTTTTTTTACTGATAGTTCTTTTAGATTTTTTTTTTTATCAAAAAAACAAAAAACAAAAAAAAACTAAATATGTTTCAGCTTTACAGAGGTCCCAATTAACATCAGGTCTGATATACACAAGTGACAGCCTGGGGAAAACAAGTTATGAGAGATTGGAGATGAGGAAGGGGCAAATAGATTTGCTGATTTTATATATCTATCTTACTGCTTTACTCAGCCATCTGGGTGGCATATATGTGTGTGTTAAACAATGTTAAACAAAAATTTGTACACCAGTCAAGCCATAAGACTTGCTTTTCAAACAGAAATAACAAATTTGCAGTGAGGTTACTAACCCCTCTCTGAACTCTGGGTGGGCATATGCAAATTAGTTTAACAAAGAATCACATTTTTGCCTCATTCCAATTTAAACATGGATTCTCTTGAGTCTGTGTTTGCAACACAATTTGTGAAAAGATGCAAAGCCAGTGAATAACTCATGGACAGCTGTTTCATTTTGTGTGTGTATATTTTTTTAAAATAAATAAAATGTATATAGCGACAGCAAATTCCATAGCGCGTGTGTATATGTGTTTTGTTTTCTTCCGTGGTTTTTTAATTAATCTACTTGAGGCCTGGGAGTCTGAAGGTTCTGTGCAGTATCTTAGCTTTTCCTAAAACCGCAATCTAATGGACAGCGATATCAAATGTCCCACCTGGAATCTGCTGAAACCACTCCCTAAACTTTTGTGTTCACAACTCAGAGTGCTCCTATCACAACTGGGACTATTACTTCATTTACTTTTCATATCCTTTCTAGCTCCTCTTTCAGTACTTGGTATTTAACCACCATCTCATGTTCCTTCTTACTGATGTTTTGGTCACTTGGTATTGCCACATCCACTACCACTGCAATCCTCCGTTCCTTGTCTACCACCGTGATGTCTGATTGGTTGGCCAGTACTTGCTTGTCTGTCTTTAACTGAAAGTCCCACAGGATCTTAGCCCTGTCATTCTCCACTACCCTTTGTATTATGTCCCATCTGTACACAATGCAGTGCTTGGTTCTGCCTCTCCGTGAATGCCTTCCCTGGCATCCGGCTAGTATGTGCAGAGGCCTCTTTGCACAGTCTACACCTTGGGTATTGTCTGGTGTGGTAGACCCCTGCTTCTATACCAAAGTCTATTTTTATTTTTGAATTCTTACTTAAAGGGACACTCCAGGCACCCAGACCACTTCTGCCCATTGTAGTGGTCTGGGTGCCAACTCCCATCACCCTTAACCCTGCAAGTGTAATGTAATTATTGCAGTTTTTATAAACTGCAATAATTTCCTTTCAGGGTTAAGTCCTCCTCTAGTGACTGTTTCTTAGACAGCCACTAGAGGGACTTCTGGCTTCTTAAAACACGAAAAGTGTTTTAAACGACGCTGGACTTCCTCACGTTATGCAGGAGGACCTCCAGCGTCGCCGGAATCCCCATAGGAAAGCATTGAACAATGCTTTCCTATGGGAAGGTCTAATGCACGCGTGCAGCCATTGTCACGCATGCGCATTAAGTCTACCCCATCGGCGGGAGTTTTAACCCCTTCAGCAACATTGGATGGGGGGTGGGAGGGAGAGGGGCACTGCAGTATTCTGCAGTGCCTGGAAAACGGATTTGTTTTCCTGGCACTGGAGAGTCCCTTTAAGCAGTGTGTCCGGTTACAACATAAGAAAGATATAGTAAGTGCATATTACAAACAGGCATATATTGGTTATAAAACATGAGAATCACCCAGTGTTTGTAGTAGTAAATAAATGCACCTTTCGTAATGGCAGGAGACGTTCGATTAAACTTGACCTGCTCTGCTTGGACAAATGTATCCACTAATGTCCTGGGGTGAGTCAGTTAGTGGCTTTAGTAGCTGGGATGTGCACTAACCCGAGGGGGGAGGGAGGGGGAAATCAAGTGGGGTCACTCTGTGTTTATCCAATGAATGAAAAGGGCATTTGGGGCCAGGGTTCTGTCTGTGATTCCTATGGTTGAGAGAAATGTTGCTGCTTCGGAAGGTGTGGTAGTTCTATACACATATCCATCTTTCGATTCTGAGAGAGCTCTCAAAGCTTGAGGAACTTGATTTGCAGTTGCCGAAATAATACAGGGTTTTTTTTTTTTTTTGCGTGAAATTGGCAGTGGACAATTGCATCTCGGGGAGTTGTGCTTTGTTGACTTAAGTCCCATTGATGAGTAGGTTTTTGACAGCAAGTAATAAGCACCTTAAAAACATTGGGCAGACTAGATAGGTCGAATGGTTCTTATCTGCCGTCACATTCTAAATACTCTCATTAGTCCCTGGCCTTATTTTATATCTAGGATAGCCTTCTGCCTATCTCACGCATGCTTAAACTCCTTCACTGTGTTAACCTCTGCCACTTCAGCTGGAAGGCTATTCCATGCATCTAAAACCCTCTCAGTAAAGTAATACATTTGTTTTATGCTTATGCTCCACCTTGACTGTATGTGGTGTTTTGTTTAATTTTTTATTTTATTTTTTACTTTTTTGCTGAACCCCCATTGGATTTATGTTGTTACATAGAACTGTTACTTCTTTGGTTTGTTCTATTGATACGGTTTGACACTTTTTTTTTCTTTTTCTTTTTTTCTTCTTCTACAGAACCCACACAAATTTACAGATTTTTGCGGACACGGAATCTTATAGCTGTAAGTATAACTTATTTTTTCTGGATGTGCTTCAGAGTTTGTGTTTTCAACTACTAAAATTTTGTCTCTTTCTCTCCATAGCCAATATTTTTGCACAGAACGCTTACATACATGTCACACAGAAATTCCAGATCAAATACTAAAAGGTAATGCCAGATTATCATCGCCAATAATGAATTTGAAAGATACAGCTTTGTAGATACTTGAAAGGCCAAAATCTTCCAGTTATCAATTTAAAAGTACAAATAATGTATTGTTGTTATTCAAATGGCTGGTATCCAAATTTACATTCTATATATTGTGTTGGATTAGTATGTGTGAGAGATCAACAGACTAGCTTACAAATGGTCCTAAGTTTTGCATAAAAATGTCAAGTTGCTTAGATTTAGGTCTGTAAACATGTCTTAGCAGAACCTGCTCCATTTCTTGTTACGCTATGTCAAACTTGTCCTGTTGCAATTACATTTGTGTTTCATTTACCAATTTTATAACTCAGCAGCTAATGGTACTATAAAAAGAAAGAGCTGTAGAGAGCAGAGCTGGGTTGGCATGTCTCAGCCCTTACTATTCGTGTTTTATGCAATTAAGAGTCGGTTCTTATGCTTTTAATGAATCTTTTTTTTTTCCCGTGTGGGATTTATGGGCATTAGCGTCTAGACTGACATACACAACTGTTGTCATTTCTAAACTTGTGGGTGGGTCACTGCTTTCTGGCAGGTTCAGGTAGTGACTAAACACACAAACATCCAGTCGTAGTTTGTTTATAGCTGCTTTTAATTGTAGACATTGTGATAGGTCAAAAAATTTGTGCATAAGCGGTGCCCTGTAGTTGTAAATCAAAAGGAAATATGATCTAGAACATATACTGCAGGATCTGATATGCATTTCCTATTTTGTGGAATATGTAACATGTTTTGAAGATGTACTTAGGCATTACCAAGAAATTGGGCCATGATAGGTTGTGTGTTTAACATTAGTGGGAACTCGAGATGAGAGATCTGGTTTAAACCTTAATCCACATTTCAGTAAAAGGATTAATACCCAGGTGGAGTAAAATTACTCAATGCAAACCACAACTGTGCTATCCCTTGTAGTGAATCCTCATTCAGCTATGATGGTACTATAATGGGCCTGGGTCAAACAGTGTGTGGCTGGACGGAGCAGGGGAAAATGGACAAAATGCGGTGCAGACAGAGCAGGGCCCATGTTCTTTTGACCATTTGTTTTTCTATCAGTGTATGTCCGATATGCTTAATAGCTTCTGAAATTTGGATATGCTTTAAAATGTTGCCTATGATGCAAGAACTGTAGGAATAACACATTGTTTAATTTCATTCCTGCAGGAAAGTTTTTAAAGCAGACGACATGTTGTTGAAAGTAGAAAAAATGAAAGGAGATCAGGAGTCTCACAGGTAATTTGAAATTCTGTATCTTTTTTTATTTGTATTTTTACTTTTGTAAATCTGTGTTTTTTTTTTTGTTTTGTTTTTTTTTAAATTTTTTTTATTTTTTATATTCTTTATTTTATTTGTGCACAGTGTGAACAACCATGTTTGTACTGCCACGACAGCTTGTACAGACAGACATGTGGATTGGCATGGCTTTAAGAAATATTGCACTTTTTGTTTTAAAAGTCAGAATTAGTAACATATTAAGGGTTAAACAAGCTTAGAGGATTCAGGTCACTGGTGGCCTGTAGTGGTATTTGGTAGTCCGAAACATAACAGTATATCTCTCGGGTACTTAGCTGCTCCAGGGTTGGATGGGGCCCCCTTCCGAGGGTGCGCGGCTGTGGATCATGCTGGTTGTAGATTGGGGGGCGGAGGGGAGGAATCTGTGCCCTTTGACGGGTTAGGGTGTCTAAGGTAAGAGTTCTTGGTCTCCTTTGCAATACGCTAGTATGGTAGCCCTTAAGCGCAAAAAAAAACCAAACATTCAGCAAAGAAAAGAAAACCATTTCAACTGGGTAAGTATAGTCACAAGTTTTAGTGGCGGAGTCTGGTGCTTTCGAGAGGATGGGAAGGTGTCCTCACAGTGCGGCCTGTTCAGGTTATGTGGCTTGCCGGCGCGGCATGCCGAGATGACCTGGGTATAAATTCCCTTGCGGTGTTTGGGTCTAGCCTGGACAGGGAGGTTGTGGATTCTGATTGCGGTGCTGTCAGGCCCAGTTGGCACAGGTGAGTGACAAGTTCTTGTGGGCTCCTTGCACGGTATAGAGTCCTTTGAAAGGTGAAGGTGATGAGGCGTGGTGTTCCCCATCGATACTGGATGTTGTTGGACCTTAGGAGTAGTAAGCTAGGTTAAAGCGATTTGCACCAATTAAGTGTTCCTCTCGTTATATCAGAGAATACTAGTAGTTGAGAGTCCTCAAATGGTAGAGGGGCTTTTTTCCCGGGGCGCCGCCATGACCGCAGATTTGTCCTGTTGGGTTTGGAATTTTACAATAACGTCAGCCGTGGCGGTCGGGGGTGCGTTTGTTGGCTTGGGCAAGCGGAACAGTCTGTCAATCTTCACGAGTTTGGCCTTCTTGGGTTGCAGTAGTGTTGCTATTAGGCACCTCAAATAGTGTGGGAGGTCTGCTAACCCTATATCGTCAGGTACCCCTCTGACCTTTAGGTTGTTTCTCCTTCTATGATCTTCTAATGCCTCCACTTTCTCCGCCGTGCCCAGTTGTTGTTGTGTGTGGAGGTCTGACATTTTTGTTCCAGATTGTGTAGTCTCGTGTCTTGATTATCTGCCTTTGTCTCCAATTGTGTAAGCCTCGTGGTGGCCCCCTCTAAGGCCCCTTTGAAGTATGTTCGGTCGGCAGCTAAATCCTTCCTGAGTTCCATTAAGATTTTAGTCAGCAAGGCTGCTGTGAACGGTTCCCCTGCTGGAGATGCTTTGGGCTTGAGCCCTACGGGCTGGTTTGTCGATGCACCTTCTCCCAGATCCGGGTAGAAGTCTCCTGAGGAGTCAGAGTATTTGCCGATGTCGTGGCTAAGAGCAGTTTTGTCCAGCCTCGGTTTCTTTTTTTTCTTGCCCTTTATCTTCTCCTCGACCTGTTGGTAAGGTTTGAGGGAGGAAGGTGCCCAATTTCCGCAGTTTAATCAGGTATTTTGCTTAATTTTGATACGGAGCTGTTCACCGTGCGGCTTTGCTGGTCCGCAGCTAGCTTACAGTCTCAAGCTTTGCATAACATATGGTTTCTTGTATATGTAGATGCATTAGATGAGTGACCATCAGTCGTCGTGTTTCCTGTGCCATATCCCTCTGTCTCCTGTGTGGTGTGTAAGCAGGTGTTGCAGTTGTTTCCGGGGGATTGGCATCTGCACCTCAGGGGCTGCCATAGATCCTATGTTCATGTCAGCTTTTACGTAAGCATCTGTCCAGAGCAAGGGCCTTCACCCCGTGGCAACCTCCCCTCGGCCCTCTAGCATCTCGGTTCGTAGTTATGGGGAAAAGTAAGTTAGGTAGAGCTAGAATAGGGAAGCGGGTTAAGTGAGGTTAGCCTATGGTCGTCGCCGGGTGGGGCAAGTTCCTGCCTGCCATGTTTCCGCGTGTCTAGTCTGTCTCCCTGTTAGGGAGGTGTGTAACGCCTCCGCCCCCTGTATGTCCTCTACCCTGCGGATGCACTCGTTTTTCCTAGGGACTTCTGCTTTTTTCCAGTAGGCCAGTATATTGACCTTGGCAGCATTCAGTAGGTGATGTAAAATTGATTTTTTTTTTTTTTTAAATATAAATTCTTTATTTTTGTCGTGCAAGAATTTACAACAGTGTCTGCGTAGCCACAATAGCCGTAACAGACGCCTTCAAATACGACATTCAAAAACATTTTCGTGGCTTATTTAAACTTAGCACGTTTTTATCATTTAAGGATCATTTAAGACAACATTAAGCTTTGTACGATTCAACATGTTTGTCGGTAACAGCATTCAAGTGGCTAGGTCACATGTTGGTCTACGCATTTATTATATATATAAGTAACCCGCTTATCTATGTATATGAGGTTGACAGGCTAGTAGGTAATGTTTATGTAGTATAACACGCTAGGGTAGGTATGTCTTTAAAAAAGCTAGTCAAGCTGAAGGTTATAATTGTGTCGTTTGTATGTGGTGCGACCTGTACGTCCTAAAAACCTAGTGGCGTGATTAACCAATTCTCAAGGTAGTGGAGGCAGCGTTCTATCATGTGAAGCAGGTGTGAGTAGTGTGAGATCCTACTAGCCACCAGGTACGATTCGCATGGTGTAGTTAATATATGAGAAAACTGTTGCTGTGCGCGGGTGCCATGGTCATTGTTTTCCTGGCCGCCGAGCACAGCAAGGCATGACAGGGTGAAACATTATGCTTTTGAGTTCACAGCAACATTAAGGTAAACAATAAGCTAATTAAAGGAATAAAATAATAAAGCAATAAAATAACAATAAAACCGCTAAAGCAATTTAGGTAGGTGCTTCTGGTGTAGCTGCAAGACAGTTCAACTCATGTCCCCATAGTAGGGCCTGTCCCCTCGGGACCTGCCTGTAGCTGTTTTAGCCCAATCCCACTTCTGGTAGGTTGTCGATCCTGGGGTGCAGAAGTCCGCTAGTGTCTCGATGGGGCTTGGTGGGTTGAGATGGGTCGCGGCAACCGTGCTTGGCTTTTCCCGGCGTCTGTGCTATATATTAGAGTAAAAAAAATTTAAGTGGGGAGTCTCAGATGAGATCTATGAACTTGGCGTTATTATGGTTAGGCAATCTGTGTGGCTTGATGTTCCCGTGCCCCTTTCCGGATCTCAGGTACCCATCGCGTGGCGGCCGGCCCTCTGCGCTTTAAATGCGGTGGAGGGCAAGGTGGAGGCCCCAGAGGGCTGGAATGCTTGGACTTTGGCCATGTCCCAGAAGTGAGGGGGTTGTCATCTCAGGGCTTGGGTGGTGCTAACCGGGTTCGTCGATAGCCCCAGAGCGGTCAGTACTGAGTCCATTTCCGCTGCATCCGTTAGGCAGGTTGTTGCGCCCCCATGAGAGATGACCAGGCTCCTAGGGAATGCCCATCGATATGGGATAGAGTGTTGACGGGGCGTGGCTGTTAGTGGCTTGAGCCGGCTTCTCCATATCACTGTGGGCCTGGACAAGTCCTGATAAAAGGATAAGGTAGCATTTTCAAATGGGTAATTTGCCTTGTTTCTCACGGCAGTCATAAGGGTCAGTTGGGCTGCCCGTGTTTGTAGCTGCAGGATGACATCCCATGGGGTGTCTGCTGGTGCTGTGGCGGCTCTCGGGATGCGGTAGGTCCCATCTATCTCAGTTAGGCGTGCTTGTTGTGTTGAGAGCAGGGAGGCGAGCAGTCTCCCGACGTAGTGTGTCAAGTCGCCTGAGGCCACAGTCTCCGGGATACCCCGGATTTTTACATTTCTGCTCCTGTGCTGGTCTTCTAGTGCGTCTAGGCGGCTGGTGAGTTGAGACTGAGCGCGCCGCATCTGTGTTTTGGGCTTCCAGTTGTGTACACCGGGCGGAGAGGTCTTTCGTTTCTCCCTCTCTTGTTTTGACGCGCCCCTCTACTGTTTGTATTTCTTCTCGCAGTGTGGCCACATCTGTGGCAAACATTTTGCGGAGGTTGCGGAGCAAGGCTTTGAGATCCCCCTTCGTGGAGGGCAGCTCGCTATCTTCGTCGGAGGACGGGAGGTGTAAGCCCCCTGAGCTCGGGAATTCATCCAGCTCGTCCATTGCTTGGTCCTCGGAGGAGGCCGAGGCCGTATCGCCATGGTTTTGTTTTTTTGTTTTTTTTGGTGCGGCGTGGTTTGGGGCCTGTGCAGGTCGGAGGAGAAGAGCCCCGATGTCTCGTGCCCCTGTCGGTCTCGGGGTTCCCTGGTGTTTTGTCTTCTTCCCCATCTCACTGTGACCCGATAGAGGTTGGAGTGTTTCAGGTGGTTAAATCGCTTATTTCAGGCTTAATTCTGCGGAGCTCTGCTGGCACACGTCTGCTCTGTATGGCTGCTGGCTCCGCCCCCTGTAAAATTGATTTCTTATAGAGTGAATTCGGTTGTGGAGAGATATGTAGTAGTGCGAGGTTGGCCGAACATTCTGGTATATCCCCTAGGATCATGGTCACGTTGTCTTTTACCATCTCACAGTATGGGGCACATGTCGTGGCACCCCCACCAGATGTGGAGCAGCATTCCCCTCTCTGTTTTGCATCTCCAGCATGTCGGGTGTATCTTTGGGAAGATTCGATGTAGAAGGGTCGGTGTTTTAGACCATAGTGATATTTGTTTATAATTCACCTCCTGATAATAGGAGCTCATGGAGCTCTTGTGTTGCCACAACAGTGCCTTATCCCACTGTGCTGAAGAGAATGACTTGACCAGCTGTTCTTCCCATTGTCTCCGGAAGGTATCGTTTGCTGTTCGATCGCCAACCACTAAGTGTTGATAGTGTGGATACCGCATTGCCTATTGTGGTACCTCGGTTCTCTGTGTAGGTGTTCTTAGTGCGGGAGCGAGTCATAGTAGTGTTTCAGTTGCATATATCGGAGGGAGTTTGGGGGAGTCCTCTGTCTACCCTCCAGTAATGAGTTGAAGTCCCGTTCCTTAAAGCTCTCTTGATGGGGATGAATTCCCCGTTGCTAAGAAGGATCCATGCCCTCAGAGGTAGTCCCCCTCCAATTTTGCTATTGTATGTAACCAGGATTAGGGGGCTAGGTGTAGGTGATATGTGTTTGTTCCCGCAGCGATCTCCAGCTGCGTAATGTTTGCGAGACCAGTCCTCATCCCATTCACTTGGTCCTGTATCCCTCTGTATCCTTTCCACACCATCAATACTAAAGTCTTGCCAACATCTCCCTTGTCCAGAGTCACCCACTGTTTGTGCGTGAGACTTGCGTGCCATTCGAGAATTCGTTATAGGGCTGTGGCCTGGTGATATCTCTTAAAGTCTGGTAGTGCCAATCCACCCTTGTGCCTGGGTAGGCATAATATGTTGTCGTAATCTGGATTGCTCTCCTCGCCACACAAATTTGGTTACTACCGTTTTTAGAGTAGAAAAGAAGGTGGCCGGCGGGGCAAGGGGAATGGTCTGTAGTAGATATAGGACCCTCTGTAGTATGTTAAATTTAAGTACTGCGACACGTCCATGCCACGTCACATGGGGGTATGCCCACCTGTCCAGGTCCGCCAGCAATATCTTCAATAAGGGTATGAAGTTATGTCGGTATATGTCGTTTTGGTCTGTGGTCACCCATATTCCCAGGTATTTTATTTTGCCATAACACCAGTGAAACTTGAATTGTGAGTCCAAGGCCAGGTATTCCTCGGTGGGGATTGTGACATTCAGTACTTCGCATTTTGCTAAGTTGAGTTTAAAGCCGGAGAACCTGCCAAACTTTTCGAACTCTGAGAGGAGGCAGGGCAGCGCGAGTCGCGGATTATTTACGAAGAAAAGGTCGTCGGCGTAAGCGGCGACTTTGTGGTGTACCCCATGCCACATGTAGCACTGTATGTCGGTGTTCAGGCGGATGGCCTAAAGCAGTGGGGACAACTGGCATCCCTGCCTTGTGCCATTGCTGATCTCGAAATCAACCGTCCAGCCCCTATTAATCCTCACTGATGCCCTTGGTTTATTGTATATGGCGCTAATCCAGTTGAGGAGCCTTTGGTATTTTTACTTTTGAAATCTTTTCACTGCAGCAATTATAATCTCCAACTGATGCTAGCTCTTTGTTTACATGCCTGTCTGCCTCTGGTCAAGCACTAATAGGCCTGTGTGTTTTCACTACAGATTTTTTTTTTCTTCTTTTCCTTGCAAGGGCCGAGTGTTTTCATTCACTTGTGCTATCTATTAAAAAAAAATCTTTATACAAAACACATGCATGCATCTATTAAGCACATTTCTATTCTGTGCAGATAATTTATAATTTAGGTTCTGGGATTTGTCTCTTGCAAGATTGTTCAACTACTTTCTTTTATTTCTAGTTTATCTGCTCACCTGCAGCTCACATTCACTGGTTTCTTCCATAAAAATGGTAAGTACTCTTGATTATTGTCGGATACTTATTATATCCCAGTACCTGTTAAGTTGATAATCTCTGCCCTTTTTAACCTTAGATAAGCCATCCCAAAACTCAGAAAATGAACAAAATTCTGTAACCTTGGAGGTCCTGCTTGTAAAAGTTTGTCACAAGAAGCGAAAGGTGGGCTGTTATAATTCAATAGAATGTATCAATTTTCATATTACATGTTGGGAATCTGTTGTTTTGGACATTTCCGTTCTCTCATTCTATAGACCACGTGTGACAATTGCTATTTGATTCATATGAGGTTTAATTCATTCCTTCTCCTTTATAATATTGGGCATTAATAGGGTGTTATGGTGACCTTTTCTTTTACATTACTGTACAAAGGACAAGAGGTTATTCACTATACAGACACTTCTTACTTACCGACCAAGTTAAGTTTGGGGATTTTATCCAGATTAGCAACTTTTTTTTTTTTAAAGCTGGATTTCAGCTTGTTACAATTCAGAGTTTAGTAAAAAGGCAGTGCTTACATTAATAAAATGCCTGCAGGGACCTAATATAGAGCTCTAGTTGTTCTGGTGGCTATAGTGTCCCTTTAAGGAATGGATGCTTTATCTCGATTAGATCAATAAAACATTTACAGCAGGGCTAAGATAACAAATCCTTGAGTGAATGCATTATGAGAATCAGTAGATATATATATTAATAACAGTTAATATGGTAGTTTCCACTTTTCCGTTCAAAGATTTTTGTTGCTTTTCAAAGGAACACTACAGTGTCAGGAATACAAACGTGTATTCCTGACACTACAGTTGAAAAACTACAGTTTAGGGTACTGGACCCCTTCTGCTTCCTTTTTTAAAAGGTGATTTTACTCCTCTTTCTTCCACCTCTGTGCTGGATCATCTTGCGTCTGGCCCGGATCCACTGCACCTCCTTAGTTGAGATAATCAAATTTGACAATCTCGGCTAATCCAATGTTTTCGCATAGGAAAAAGATTGGGAGGCCATTGCTCATCTGTGGAAAAACGCTGCGCATCATAGAGATGCATTGACTTAATGCATTTCTTTAAGGTTTGTTCAGCCACTGAATGTCAGTGCTGCACACTGTGACCCAGGAAGCATCTCTAATAGCCGTCTGAGTGACTTCCACTAGAGGTGTTACTAGGCAGTAATGTAAACACTGCCTTTTCTCTGAAAATGCAGTTTTTACATTGAAAAGGCTATAGGCACCAGAACAACTACATTAAAGGACCACTATAGTGCTAGGAAAACATGCTCGTTTTCCTGGCACTATAGTGCCCCCACCCTCAGGGTCCCCCTCCCGCCGGGCTGGATGGTGAGGAAAGGGTTAAATCTTACCTTTTTTTCCAGCGCCGGGCGGGGAGCTCGCCTCCTCCTGCTCTCCTCCTCTTCGGCTGAATGCGCATGCGCGGCAGGAGCTGCGCGTGCATTGAACCAGTCTCATAGGAAAGCATTCATAGTGGTTTCCTATGAATGCTGGCGTCTTCTCACTGTGATTTTCACAGTGAGAAGCACGCAAACGCCTCTAGCGGCTGTCAATGAGACAGCCACTAGAGGCTGCATTAATTCTAATATAAACATAGCAGTTTCTCTGAATGTCTCTGAGTTTCTCTGAAACTATGTTTATAAAAAAAAAAAAAAAAAGGGTTAATCCTAGAGGGACCTGGCACCCAGACCACTTCATTAGGCTGAAGTGGTCTGGGTGCCTAGAGTGGTCATTTAAGCTGTAGTTGTTCTGTTTACTATAGTTTCTTTTTTAAAGGCAGCAAAAAACATCAACAAGGCTGTGTGAAAGGATGGCAACAGAGATTGTGCAGTTTAATTATATAGTCCCTTACATTACTTGTAACTTTGTGACCCTCTTAGATTGAGCCACACGTGGTTATTTACTGAACTCTAAATGGAACAAATTAAAATCCACTTATTTGGAGAAATTCTACAATTTGGCCGTAATCACAGCTTGACTATTTAAGCTTAAATTTTACCATTGGTGTTTTAGCTTGCTGTAATTTGGGGTATGGTAGATAACCCTGACTGTGAGTAAACATTTTGACTAGAGATTAGTTTGTAGTTGCCAGGTCATCTTTACACTGTATTGTAGTTTCCCTTAATGGTAACGGATGTTGGTTCTATGTTTATGCTAGCATTATAGCACCTGCCTTTTATTGCAATTGACACCTTTCTGATTTGAATCTGTTTTACCTTTAATTAGGATGTAAGCTGCCCAATAAGACAGGTTCCAACAGGGAAAAAGCAGGTGCCTTTGAACCCAGATATCAACCCAACAAAGCCTGGGAATTTGCCATCGTTGGCTGTTTCTAGCAATGAATTTGAGCCAAGCAACAGTCACATGGTTAAATCATATTCACTGCTCTTCAGAGTAACCCGCCAAGGCCGGAGAGAGTTTAATGGACTGAGCAATGGAGAAACAAATGAGAACATAGGTACCACAAGTTTCTTTCTTTTCTTTTTTTTTAATTTTATTATTAATCATATAATTAAATCAGATGAAGCTTTCTCCTCTGTGAAATGATTGTTTAGCGGTTTTCACGTCACAGGCAGTCACCTTGTCCTATAGATTGTTTTAGAGAAGTGAGCGAGTGTTATATAACCATAGTGTGAAGTGCACGTTGAAGTTTATACTAGTTTTTCATGAAGATAAGAAATTAGTGTTGGGTTTTGCTTTTTATGTAGTAACAATGCGATGTTATGTGATAGCTATTTGGCTTTAGTGTTCTTTTAAAACATGCTCCACTGATGTCGAAATGTGTGTGCACCGTGGTCTCGTGCAGTTCTGTTGTCCTCTACTTTTTATTATGATTGTTTCTGTGTGTGACTATCTGGCAGTCGGAAGAATGCCTATGAATGGGATGTTAAGTAGATGCATCCCACTGGTGTATGTCGAGATTGCCTCACTTTTAGAAGTTTGCCCTATTATTTTATTTTCAGAAAGGCAAGTCTGTCCATTAGATGAGTCTTAGAACCTGTGCTGGCAAGCCATATGTCGTTACTGTGATTTTTCTTTTATTTTATCATCTTGTTTTGACTTTAACTAGATGTAACAGAGGAAGCACCAACTCGAAGAAAAAGAAATGCATCAAATAGGGATGAAGGAGAGAAGACCTTTGTGGCCCAGATGACTGTGTTTGACAAGAACAGGTGAAAACAACATGGGTCAATTAGGTTTATGATGTTAAAGGGGCACTTCAGACACCAAATCAACCTCATGAAGTTATGGTGTCAGAAGGCGTCCGGAGGCACTTTCACCACTAAGTTTCCTATAGCGGCAATGTCTCCTTTCCCCCCCAGACGGCATCCAATTTCTGAAAATTTAACTTTCAGGAGCCACAAAATGGACGTGAAAAGAAACATACCTTTTTCAAGCCATTTTTGTGTATTGGGGAGCCACTGATTGGCTGAGAGTTTCGGAAGACCACTCTCGGACAATGAGCGGTGCCCCTACCCAGTGGCACTCTCTGCTTACTGAAAGTGACATTTCAGAAGCCAGATGCTGCTGGGTCGGGGTGGACATTGCTTCTGCAGGCACCTTGGGGGTTAAACGGTTCAGGAAGAGTTTAATCCCTTGAGGCAAAAGTGCCTCCAGGACCTCTTGTCATTGTAAAAACTTAATTTACATGAAGTTAATTTGGTGCCTGGAGTGTCACATTAATGGTGATGTATTATAAATTATCCAGTCATAATTAATTTCTATTAATAAGTGGATGCTTGTGTTTTAAGACGTTTGCAGTTACTAGACGGCGAATATGAGGTCGCCATGCAAGAGATGGAGGAATGTCCTGTGAGCAAGAAAAGAGCCACTTGGGAAACTATACTTGATGGAAAGGTGAGTCTTGTGGTCAATCCGTTGTTTTTTTAATTATTGCTGAGCTTCTTGTAGCTTTTTGTTTGCTTCAGGTCTTTTATCCTCAAATTATTTGTCATATCTCAATGTCTGTCAAAAAATTTCGAGCAGCCTGTGCTCTGTAATCTATTTAACAGATATATTATGATGAATAAGCTGGTAATTTCTTCATTAATTTGGAGATTTCTGCAGCTTTCAATGGGCTGCCAGGTTCCCAGACATTAAACCATTAACCCCTTAAGGACAGAGTTTCTGAAGCTTGTTTTTCACTTAATGACAACAGCATTTTTTTGCTGTTTACGTTCAACTGCAATTTGCATTTTACTAATTTATTGCACCGACACATATACCGTTTTTTAAAGGACAGAAAGGGTTTTAATTTTATGTAACACACACATATATATATATATATATATATATATATATTTATTTATTATAAAAAAAAATACAGAAAAATGCAAAAAGAATAAAACAAAAAATTGTTTTTTTTTTTACAGTTTTTGCAATAATGTGTGCACAATTAGTGCAGGTTAAGGAAAGTAATTAAAAATAAATTCATTTAGTTCTGATTTACAGAATATATAATGTCTGGGATTTTAAGTTTTTGTTTTTTTTGGGTAGTTACAGGTCACAAAGTACAAGGAGTAAAATAATGTTTTAATGTGGAGTGATTTTAGAATTTGGTATGTTTGTCTTGTAAGCTTAACCCCTAAACGCCGTTACGGCGTTCTATGCCGTTACGCATTAAATGGGCTTTAAAGCCGTTGCGGCGGCATAGAACGCCGTAACGGCTTGCAGCCCCAGGAGGTGAGATTTACTCACCTCCGCCGCGATCCTCTTCTGGAGGGCTGCCTGACAGCCCAGGCAGCCCTCCAACAGGAAATGAGGCCCCCGGGGGCCATGTGATCGCTCACAAAGAGTGATCACATGGCCCCCTATAGCTGGCTGTGGATCTGCCAGCAGGGTGACTGTCTGAAATGTCAGTCCCCCTGCTGGTGGGAAGTATTAAAATGATTAGACATGTAAAATTAAAATAGAAATGTATTTATATATAATATATGTAACGTCATACGTAATGTATTTTAATATTAATATAATTACATATATTAGTATTAAAATACACTTAGAATGACGTTACATATATATAATATAGATAATAGATATATACACATATATTATATAAATACATATAATTGTGTGTGTGTATGTATGTATGTATGTGTATATATATATATATATATATATATATATATATATATATAAATATAAAATACACAAGATGTCACAGGTGCCTCATCCCAGGGCCCTATTTAGCCTTGTACTGCAGAGAGCCCCAGATGGAATTTCTTTCCCCAAGTAGGTTAATCTCATAAGAGCAGACATTAGGCTGTTAGTGTAGGACCTGCCAAAGATGGGGTACATTGACGTTGTGGCAGGCTTATGCAATGTATGATCATATAATGTAACTAAACCCCCATTATTTTTGCCTAGATTAGGTGTTTTTAAAAAAAAAAATAAAATCTTTCAACATTGAAGTTGCTGTTTAGTGGATAGGTGAGTGCGCTGGATCTTGTGTATTGTATTATTTGGCCCCCAGCAGCACCCCCATTTATGCATGTTAAGGTGAGTGCAGCCAACCCCCTCTTGTTTTTATATATATATATATATATATATATATATATATATATATATATATATATATATATATATATATATATATATATATATATATATATTACAAATAACCGCATATATACACACACACACACATATACATAGAATGTGACGGCAGATAAGAACCAGTCTGTCCAATTTTCTAAATACTTTCATTAGTCTCCAGCCTTATCTTATAGTTAGGATAGCCTTATGCCTATCCCACGCATGCTTAAACTCCTTTACTGTGTTAACCTCTACCACTTCAGCTGGAAGGCTATTCCATGCATCCACTACCCTCTCAGTAAAGTAATACTTCCTGATCTTATTTTTAAACCTTTGTCCCTCTAGTACATAGGGGGTACTGTTTTACTCAGGAGACTTCGCTGAACTCAAATATTAGTGTTTTCAAACTGGTAAATTGTATTACAACGATGATATTTTAAGTAAAATTGACATTTTTTTCCTTTTTTACAAATGAACGGCACTTTTATGGACTATATTATTGTTATAATATGTTTTAGTGTTTTATATATATTTTTTACTGTTTTGAATCACTAATATGTGTTTAGTGAAGTGTCCCGAAAATAACAGTACCCCCCATGTACAGGATTAATGGTGTTTTGGAACGTTAGAGAGTCACATATAAGGCTTGCATTTAATTTTTTTTACATTGAAATTTGCCAGATTGGTTATGTTGCCTTTGAGAGCGTATGGTAGCCCAGGAATGAGAATTACCCCCATGATGGCATACCATTTGCAAAAGTAGACAACCTAGTCTATGTCCAGTCTTTCTTAGTAGCCACTTGGTCACAAACACTGGCCAAATATTAGTTTTTTTCTTTTTTCACCCCAAAACAAATATGAACGCTAACTTTGGCCAGTGTGTTTGACTAAGTGGCTACTAAAATTACCCCACTTTCAATACCTTGGGTTGTTTACTTTTTCAAATATGGATTGTTTTCTCATTCCTGGGCTACCACACCATCTCAAAGGTAACATTACTAATGTGGCAAATTTCAATTTGAAAATGGAACGTTCTATATTTGACCCTGTAACTTTCCAAAACACCATAAAACCTGTTAATGGGGGGTACTGTTGTACTCGTGAGACATCGCTGATTACAAATATGTGAATTTTGTGTTTTTGCAGTAAAACCTAACAGTATTATGACATTCACAGCTAAAATGTCAGACGGAAATACAAATTTTAAAAAAATCTTATTTTCTCACATTTTTTTTAATTTTATTCATAATAAATTATGTTCCATATATGAATAGTTAATGATAAATTAAAGCCCTGTTTCTCCTGAACAAAATGATATATTATAAGTGTGGGTGCACTTAATGTGACAGCGGTGAATTACGGTTGAACAGACATATAGCGCAATTTCCAGTTTTTGTTTACGTTTTGATCAGAACGTGCACTATTGACTCCGTCCTGAAGGGGTTTTATAGCCATAAAAGAAAACAAAATTGCCACACAAAAGTATATATTTATATAAAGTAGACATCATGGGCTATTTACCTAAGGTTGTTTTGACACTTTCCACGTAGCCATTTCACCGCCAACCTCTGCTAAATATTGGATTAAAATTGTGGGGTTTTTTTTTTTTTGGTTTTTGGCACACTAACTTATAACAAAGAAATTCTCATGTGTATTTTGTAAAGTTGGTGTGTGCTATTCCTGTACAAAGTTTTATTTTGTGTTCAGTTACATCTGCTGAGTAAAATACACCCCCATTGTATGTCTTTGGCACTATTTCGTGAAGTTACAGTGCCATACAGGATACCTGTCCTTTTCAGTATTCACAGTAGAATTTTGAGAGATGGATTTAATGAGCCTTAGCTTCCATTTGGGGTATTATAACAGTTTGACTGTTCAAAAAAACCCACAAAGGCCTACCATTTGTAAAAGTAGACACTCCAGGGTATCTCATAAGGTGCATATTGTGCCTTAACATACCCCCATTTTTTCACCAATATATGCCAAAGTATGTGGTAAAAAATAATTTTGTGCATTTTTTACATACGGATTGCATTTTTGCTGGGCGTTTTGTATATTTCATATGTGCCACTAAGTTCAAACCTCCCAAATTATGCTCAGCTAAGTCTTCTGAGTAAAAAGACACCCCCAATGAATGTCTTTGGCACTATTTCTTGAAGCTACAGTGCCATATAGGAGACCAAGCCATATCAGTTTTTACCGAACTTTGAATTTTGACGCTGGGCCTATGTGCAATTTCCAAGCATCTTCGCAGGTTTTAAATTCAAACTACCCCACAAAGGCCTACCATTTCTTAAAGTAGACACCCCAGGGTATTTCAAAAGGTATATTTTTGAACCTTAGCATGCAATAATTTTTCCACTAGCTTCTACCAGGTGTAGTGGTAATAAGCGTTTTTTATGCCTTGAAAAGTGAGTTTGCACAGTATATTTTGCAAACCTTATGTGTGCTACCACTGTATAATACTTCATATGTTGCTCAGCTATGTCGGCTGAGTACAGCAATACCCCCGTATGTACCTTTGCCAGGTATATGTGGATGTTGAAGGGGCGCATTTGAGACGCAGCCATTCAGTTTTTTTCTAACTTTGAAGTTTTACGCTGTGTCCATGTTCCAATTTGAAGTAGTTTAGACGGTTGGTTATTGAAACTTCCCCACAAACACATACTATTTATTAAAGAATACACCCTGAGGTAATTCAAAAGGCATATTTTGAACCTTGGCGTGGGATCATTTTTTCTCTAGTTTGTTCCAGGTGTAGTGGTAATGAACTAGCAGTAAGCAGCACTAACAGTAAATTCCCCATTTTCCCATAACTCCCACTCAACCCAGCTAGCAAAATATATAATTATAAAATATTTAAATTAGTTAATTAAATAAATTGAACCCCTGAGGGTTAATAAATAAATAAAAGTTAATCGTCAGGGTTTAAAAAAAAAAAAAATTAGATCACAGTATAATACTGTGATCTGTATTTTGATCACTGTAGGCAGTGATCGACTGGCAGGGAAGGGGTTAATTTTTATTTGGACTGGCTAAAAGGGGGTGTTTTTTTTTTTTTTTTTTTACTTAAAAACTTTTTTTAACTTAATTTTGAACTTTTTAAAGCTTATTTTAAAACTTTTTTAACGTTAACCCCTAGTTAGCCTAACACCAAATCCCCCAATTCCCCACTAACTTCCACCCACCCCAGCTAGCTAAATTTATAATTTTAAAATACTTAAATTAATTAATAAAATAAATGTAACCCCTGAGGGTTAAAAAAAAATAAAAAAAAAATCATATCATAGTAAAATGTAATCCCTGCCAATTGATCACTGTAGTCAGTGATCAATTGGCAGGGAAGGGGTTAATTTTTTATAAAAATGAGTAACGGGGTGGGATTTTAAATCAACAGAGCGATCACATGGTCACAATAGGTGTCCTTTTTTTTCTGCCTGCAGTGCATACCAGGAGATCCCTTAGATTTTTATTTCTTTTGTAGCATGTCATGGGGGGGATTTTTGAACTCAGCTGATAATGATGGGTCGTTGGTTAACACAATCCAATTCTTCTTAATAATGTTATTAAACTCCATCGATGCGACATGCAACCAGTTTTCACCTGTCTGCTTTAAAGGAATCTCTACCATACTCCCAATTTTTGAGAGTTTTTCTAAACAATTCTGATCATAAGAAGGCACATATTCAAATTTCAGCTATGTGGCACAAGTTCAAGATCAGAGGGTAGAAGGATAGCACGCTTCAACGTGCATTATTGAAATGCCAAAGTGAAGATTTGTCTGTTAAAGAAATAACACATGCCCCTCGTACAGTATTCCCGACTACGTACACCTCGGCATCGATGGAGTTTAATAACATTATTAAGAAGAATTGGATTGTGTTAACCAACGACCCGTCATTACCAGCTGAGTTCAAAAATCCTCACCATGACATGCTACAAAAGAAATAAAAATCTAAGGGATCTCCTGGTATGCACTGACCCCATTCATTGCTATCAACCTCCATCTAGCAAGATTAATTACGGATGCTGTCATGCCAAAAGCATGAGTTGGTGTTTGATGTGTGTTTATATATGTTAAGAGTAGTTTTTTTGTAAACCTTGGGATGACATTTATTGTGGTCTTTGATCTTGCACCAGGCATAGACCATAAAACATCTAGATAGCCATCACCAGAGCTGGACACAAGGAATTTCATAGAGTGGGCAATAGACTGCCAGACCAGCCCCCTCTGATCCCCCCCAGGGGTCTGCCCACTGAGAAACAACTAGTTTAGATATATGAGGGTGTTGGACTATCCAGGAAAGTCAGTTATTCATTTTTCTTTTGTCAGTAACTTCTAGGAGATCTATACCATCTAAGACTCCCACAAGAATTCTATATGGGGTAAATATATGTAAGGAATTTCTTGTGTTTTCTCCTATTTTATTTTATGTACTGTTTTGCAATTTGTTATCTGTATGTCATTTAATTCTGTATTTTGTACTCAGCACTGTGAATCCTTTTTGTCAGATTAAATGTTTACTTAATCAGCTTGTGTCTCTGTTCTCTATGAGCTTCACTCTCCAGAGGAAAGCTCAGGTAAACACGTTACCAAAAGGGGTTAACTATATATGTTTTATCAGTAAAAGTAGAACTGTGATACTATAATTCTCCTGTGTGTGGGGTAACCTAAGACGCCCGGGTTTAAAAGTCTTGGTGGTGGCAGTAGTACTAAGGGGGATAGTGTAGAAGGGATTGCAGGGGTTAATTGAGTGGTTGCTGGGACTAGCAACAGGTAACCAGGGGTCTGGTGTCATTAACCCTGTCACTTCCACACTCTCCCCACTGTCTCGGCTGGGCCTATAGCCCACGCACGTGACAGATGCCATGTTTAGGTTGTGTGACCTGTGGACATATGCTGTCAGGCAAAACGTTCACACACCCTCACTCTGGGAAACCCTACACCATTCGACACCGCTTAATGTGTACATCGGATTTTGTAATATACAAACTTACTTGCCCATGTGGACTAGCCTATGTGGGCAAAACAGATTTACCTTTACGTGAACGAGTCTGTAACCACAGATCCTGTATAGGGACTGCTTAAAGGGACAACAAATCTGAGCAAAACATTTTCTTGAGAAGGGACACTCGTTGCCCACCCTGAAACTGATGGCCACCTTTGCGCAGAGGTGGAGACCGCAGTAAGCTGTTATTGCAGCGTGAACTTTACTGGATTAGGACTCTACACACCGTTCAGCCATTTGGTTTAAATGAAAAATACTCATTGGCAGTATTTTTGTAAATATTGTTATCGTGGTTTTTTGTTGATAGGGGAACGAGAGAGCCCACCCAGGGGGATCGGCATCTCTAATATCCTTCCCATTATACCGCTTTGCTATGGACTTATTTAGCAAGTTGTTGGCACTTATTGGCGACTATTAAGGGCTTGGAGGTAGCCCACCCTGGGGGATAGGCACTTCAGCCATTCTTAATTTCAGCCTATGACTCTAATGCATTTTGTGCTCCTTACTAACCCCCCCCCCCAAAAAAAAAAAAAAACTATAAAATTCTTTAGGATGATTCATGTTATCTGTCGGATGGCGGACGGGTTTAGGGTTAAGAGACAGCCCACCATGGGGGATAGGCATCTCAATTACCCATTTCACCCAGTGCTAATAGGTTTATTACTATATATCTATAACAATGTGATTTTGTTGAGGATCTTTGCTTTATGTCCCTCGCTTGTATTATTTTGTATTCTGTATATATTATGTGATGTATGCCGGTCTATATAGATTCGGGGACGCATTGGTTCTTTGCTCTGCTGCTTGAATGTTTGAGAGAGAGAGAGAGAGAGAGAGAGAGAGATAGATAGAATATATATATATATATATTTATGTGTTCATGTTGGACTAGACTGGGAGTACACCAGTCATTCTTGGTACCCTCTTCTCTTTAGATCACTGCAGCTCTACTTAGTGGCTATACTTGTATCTTCTTGTTATTGTGCATTACGTTTTTTCCCCCATAGGTTTAGTTGGTGGATATTTAATCACCCTTTATCTGGCATCGTCTTTTCATGTTTTCTCCCTTTTTTGAAGAATTATTATTTTTGTATTTGTAGTATAAGTTACATGTTTTCTTTATGCATTATCTATTCCTTAGGTAGTACAGTTTGTATATTTATATCTTGTTAATAGGTTGCTACAGGCTAATTGCAGTTTGATCGCTTTTCGATTAGTTCTGCCTGCTGTCTATCTCTAACGTGTTCTCTATGGATTTTCTCTGTATCTTAATGGTCCCTGATGGGGTGTATAGGTCTTTCTTGAACATTTATAATTTATTCCTGTATGCAGGCTATGTTTTTAGTTATGTGTATATGTATTATTTTGTTGGTTATACTGGGTTTGCTTTGGGAACGACCCCGGGAGGCGCACGTCTGACATCATCAGGGTCAATTGTTTGACCCGAGCAGGCTGCTGGTCTGGTGCCCCTGGGATCACTCCTATCTTCAACCTGGGTAAGTTATAGGGATATTGGGAGTATATATTCTTATGGATTTGATTTGCAAGCTCAGCCTGATGAAAGTCTGTGACTGAAACGTTGATTTTTATTTTGAGCTAATAAAAGCTAAGTTATATTCATTCTATTTGGAAGTCCCTGGAGTGCTTTCTTGTACTTTTGGATAGAGATATATATATATATATATATATATATATATATATATATATATATATATATATATATATATATATATATTCTCTCTAACTATATCTCTCTCTCTCTCAATACACATAGAATGAAATTGTATGTATGTATATATAAATAAAAATACGAAATATACAAAATTACATAATTATATAAATATACACGTAGACTTCAAATATGCATAGATATTTAAATTCTACGTGCATATTTATGTAATATTTTTACATAATTAAGCACTTTTATTGATTGCAATTGGAGGGACCTGCCTGCCAAGCCAGGCCGAAAGTCCAGAGAATTTAATTTACTAGCACTGTATTTTACCCTGTAACGTTCTAGGACACCATAAAACCTGTAAATGGGGGGGTACTGTTTTACTCGGGAGACTTCGCTGAACACAAATATTAGTGATTCAAGACAGTAAAACATATAACAGCGATGATATTGTCAGTTAAAGTGACTTTCTTTGCATTTTTCACACTCAAACATCAATTTTACTGATGCTATAATTGTTGTGATACGTTTTCCTGTTTTGAAACACTAATATTTGTGTTCAGCAAAGTCTCCTGGGTATAACAGTACCCCCATGTACAGGTTTTATAGTGTTTTTAAAAGTTACAGGGTCAAATATTTTTACATTGAAAATGGCCAGGGTTATGTTGCCTTTGAGAGTGTATGGTAGCCCAGGAATGAGAATTACCGCCATGATGGCATACCATTTGCAAAAGAAGACAACCCAAGGTATTGCAAATGGGGTATGTCCAGTCTTTTTTAGTAACCAATTAGTCACAAACACTGGCCAAAATTGTCGTTCAATTTAGTTTACTTTTTTCACACACAAACAAATATGAACGCTAAATTTGGCCAGTGTTTGCGACTAAGTGGCTACTAAAAAAGTCTGGACATACCCCATATTGAATACCCTGGGTTGTCTACTTTAAAAAAAATAATGTATATGTGGGGTGTTATTCAGAGATTTATGAATGATAATAGTGTTACAATGTCACTATTGATACATTTTAAAAATGTATGTTTTGAAACTGCAATATCCTACTTGAACTTATATCCCTATAACATGCAAAAAAAAATAGCAAAAATGCATGTAAACGCTGGGTATTTTTAAACTCGGGACAAAATTTTGAATCTATTTAGCAGTTTTTTTTTCATTTGCTTTTGTAGATGAGTAAAAGATTTTTCAAGTAAGTCAAAAAACATGGTTTTTTTTTTTAATTTTCATCATATATAATTTATTTATTTTTTTAATTATATTACATGAGATTATATAAATGGTATGTAAAGAAAGCCCCTTTTCTCCTGAAAAAACAATATATAATTTGTATGGGAACAGTAAATGAGAGAGTGGAAAATTACAGCTAAACACAAACACCACAAAAGTGTAAAAAGATGCCTGGTCGCAAATGTACAACATCGCAAAAACAGTCCGGTCCTTAAGGGGTTAAACACAGCTTTGGGAATTACTGGTTCAATTTATAGTTACGGTGTCTTCTTTAAAAGGACTCTAGGCACCATAACCATTTCACCGTATTGAAGTTGTTATAGTACAATAATGTTGTGCCTGCAATCTTGCTCTTCGCTTTTTTTTCTTTTCTCACTATAACAAAACAGGGCTTTACAGAGACACTTGTTGCTCCTACCTAAAAACCATGTAAATCAAAGAACTGGGAATTGTGCTTCCTGGCATTCATTCCAAGGAGTTGGTTTATCACTGTTGATATGGAGGTTCTTGCAAGCCTTTACTCCTAGCAATCAGCGCTTTCAAATCCAAAGTGTGCGCCAATGTCTGTGATGTTTGGTGCTATGCGCAGCCTAGCTTGCGTGACTAGCGCTAATAATCACTTGGAAACACTTTTTCCTCAGAAGCAGTACCTGTTTGTCCGTTAACATCTGCACGCTCTACTTGTCAGGATGTGTAATTCTGATTGACAGGGCTTCTAGCAAAAAATCCTGCTTTAAAGGCTTTTTCTGTCATGATGGGAAACAAAAGTTAAGCAATGGACTGTAGATGTCTATGCAGAAGTAGTTATGGTGCCTAGAATGTCTTTTCATTCAGAATCACTGGCAGTGACGATAGGCATTATCAGTCCTTTGGCATGGATCAAATGTGATGCCTTTTGCTTTTTTAATGCTGCTTATTTCATGGTATAACTATTTGTATTTTCCTTACTGGCAGAGGTTGCCTCCGTTTGAAACCTTCTCTCAGGGACCAACTCTACAGTTTAACTTACGTTGGACAAGTGACACAAATGAAAAGTCTACTGCGCCAATTGCCAAGCCTCTGGCCACCCGTAACTCTGAAAGTCTCCCCCAAGACCATAAACCGGCATCTGTCAAACCTACCCAAACCATAGGTAAGCATAAAGATGTAGCACTAAACGAATGGATACAGCTTTGGTTAACCCTTAAAACAATGCTTTGGAAACATTGTGCTTTTTAGATCTATCTCGTGTTACCTACTTTACACCGCATTCTCTCCCACACTGTCATTCAGTGTAGCAGAGTGGGATTAGAGCAAAAGATCTATATGTTCCCATGCCTGTCGTTTGAGCTCTGAGTGGTGTGCAGTGAGTGGAGGAGGATGCAATATGATTCTCTCGCCCCTCAGAATACACTCTGTTCAGAGCTCTACGGACTGACCAAGCAGAGGAGCATGCAGATCCCTTTTTGCCTTTCCACTCGGTAACACAACCTTACAGTAAGTGGTGAGGAGGAGCTAAACAGACCTGAAGGGAATGTAGGGAGAACTGGAGAGATGTAGAGGTGTAAGCAGCTGCAAAACCATATTAAATTCTGAATTTCAGTAATTTCTGAACAGCAGCGTACATACACTGACATTCTCTTTTCTGTTAAATCATAACAAAACTAAACATCATGCCTGTCTGTACCCCTCCCTCCCAGCCCACAATGCCCAATTAAGAAAACCTCAATATTACTGGTTAAAACAATGTAAACGTTTTATATCTCGGTCCACATTCGGGTTTGATTCAGGTAAGATTCTACACAACCCCATAAAATTACACAGAAGCTAAAACCGTAATAACTATTAATATTGTTGAGTAGGCAGCCTAGTTCAATGTTGAAATAAAATAGGGTTATCACCCCACAAAACCCAAAAAGTAACGCAAAGCCTAGAACTGACCAATACCAAAGAAATTAAAGGACCACTTTAGGCACTTCAGCTCCATTCAGAGAAATTGCTATGTTTACATTGCAGGGTTAATCCAGCCTCTAGTGGCTGTGTCGCTGACTGCCACTAAAGGCCGCTTCCGCGATTCTCAGTGTGAAAATCGCGTTGGACGTCCATAGGAAAGCAATGAGTAATGCTTTATCTATGGACAGTTTGAGTGCGTGCACGGCTCTGGCGCATTAGTCTCCACTCGGGAGCTGACGTCGGCAGGGGGAGGAGAGGTCACCAGCACTGAGGGAGCCCGGCACTGGATTAAGGTTAGTGGCTAAAGTGGTTTTAACCACTACAGCCCAGCCGGGGGGGATGGGGGGGGTTTAACTGTTTTGTTTTCCTGGCACTACAGGAACCCTTTAAGTTATAAGTCTAGGTTGTGTGTTAAGGAAAGAGCCTTCAGCGCGGTCCTTCTGATAACTATTCGTAGATATGAAAATTACAAAATGGAAACCGAGCCACTCATAGAAAGATCTGTTAATAACACAATGGCTGCACCAAATAATATACCTATTATTGTCAATCTTGGACTTGGCCATGATCATATACCCTTTCATGATTTCAATTTCAAAGCTTGTTCGTGACACACACACTGTGCACCAAAACCAGTTTGGCCACATTACATAAATTAAGGTGTAGGGATCGACTGGTTATCAGTCTGGCCGATATTCAGTATTTTCGGCAATATCGGTATCAGCCTATAGATATACCAAAATTGCCGATAATCCATAACATCCATGCCCACCCCATTTTACACAGATTACATTCCTGCAGAAAGACATACACACTCTGCATTCACTATGCACACACTCTCTGCATTCAATATATATATATATATATATATATTATACACACACACTGCATTCATATTATATATATATATATATATATATATATATATATATATATATATATATATATATATATATATATATATATATA